AGGGCAAAATGTTCCTTCAACACGATTGATTTCACCAGTCGAAAAAGCATTTAAAATTCTTAATTTCACCGCTTGAGATGTGTTAAACTCAAGTCGGTCGAAAGCATTGGCGAAGGAATCGGTTAACCAATTCAATACCTGTTGCGACCTTATTTGAGGCATAATTTAGGGGCTTTGCTGCCGCGCCCAATGCTACCCGTGAGTTGACATGGCGTCTTTGTTCTAATTGGTGTAAGCGCTACTCAGGCGTCATGCGCACGCAACAGTCGAGTGTGCGGTCATCAAATAAATTCGCACGCCTACTGCATCCTAGCATGCCACTCCAACCATGACTTCTGAATCCGCTGTTGATCGTGTTGTTCTTCTACCTGTCGACAACAGTACTCACTGCGAACGAGCGTTCAAGTGGTACATCAAGAGGTCGACGAGGCCGGGTGACCAACTTGTTCTGCTTCACGTCGTCCAACCACAATACGTTACTCCACAAGACACCTTTGCCTTGGAGCATGCTGCAGATGACTTTGCTTCCTCCATGAATGAGGGAATAAAAGTTGGAAAGCAGGTGCTCAAACGATACGCTCAAATGTGCAAGGATCTAGGCTATCCTTTCCTTACATCGCTGAAAGTTGACTCGTCATTGGGCAATGCTGTGATCAAGGCCGCAGAGGAATATAGAGCGAGTCTCATTGTCATTGCTTCAAGAGGACAGGGAAAAGCCCGCAGAACTATCCTGGGAAGCGTCAGTCACTATGTCATTCTCCAATCGGGTGTGCCAGTCCTCGTTGTACCTGCAGCTAAAAGAAGCTCTGCCTCATTTGTTTCAGAAGTAGAAAGCCTCGAAAATGAATAACTACATTGTCTGCTTTTTGTATTTACATTTTGTATTACATCAACATTGCATGCATTGGCTACTTTTTCTCCAACGAAGAAATACACACTGACCACGAAGCATCCAGCATAAATACTCACCATTTTGGCTTTACATTCCAAGTAGGGAACCGGTAATGCTCAACTAAACAGTAGCTTCATATTGATGCAGTTAGGAAGCCTATACAGATTGAAATAAGAATTACAACATCCAAAAATGACTAGACAAAATAAGGCCTGCTTCCCTGGTTTATTGGAACAAAATGAATATCCAACATAGTTCATTACGTGGTTAAGAACTGCGAAAAAGCACTTTTCGAAATAAGTCCTGTCTCCTGCAGGAGACGCAAGCGCAAGACGGCCTGAAGTGACACTAAAAACAAACGTGGGAAACGACAGGGAAACACACTCGGAACTAGGGATTACAGCAGAAACCAAGTTGTTCTCATCCTCATCTTCTGAGGCCTTGTGCTGCTAAAATGCATTCACCAGATATTACAGGCACACCAATTACTTGAGCGAATTTATTGTCAGCAATTTGACAACGGGATGACTTCTTGCGAGCGTTCTTACAGAAATGCTGACAAGTGCTGGCGGTCGTCTAAGAGAAGAGTGGGCTGGCTGTGTGTGAAGAACAGCCTCGAGAAGTGGTGACTGTTAGGGCTCGCGATGAGGTGAATAACGGTAACAATTTGAGGAATTTCAGCAAACGTCTCAGCATTCGGTTTGCGTATGCTTGGTTGTGCCTATCAACAGAGGCTTGTTAGTCGAGGCTTGTCTGTGACTCGGCGTTAACCCTCTACTCGTGCACACACATCTCGCAACATTTCGTTGTTCTTAAAATTCACTCAGTGAATGTTTGCCGAAGCATCCACCACAATGACAGACAACCAGCCTTCCGTAGTCGATGAGCCGTTCCGTGGTGGTAGACGGTCAGCGGACACGTATCAATGGAGGCATGCGTCCGAATGGGCCCAGCGCAAGCTGATTAGTGGCTATGACTCACCCCTACCTGCCAGCTGTCTCTGCTTGCATACGTGCTCCCGATGATACATTGAGGCTAGCCAATCAACAAACGCTTTTGTCATCACGTTTTGTCGCCACTTTACCGCCTTCTTTGGATGTCAACTCACAATTTGATGGCAGTGTAGTGTACTACTACTGAAGGTCTAGGATCATAAACGCTTGTGGAATCAATGCGTACCACGAAAAATTAGTAGTTCTGAAGTGAAAAGGTTGCTCCTACTACCAATTTATAATTGGATATGTAAAGACGATTTTTGAATGCAGAAAAAAACCGTGAAAAGGTAGTCTGGGACAGCACGTAGGCTGACTGTATATTTTTCATCAGACTGTTACGAAACAGACATTTGATTTCTCTC